GTTCCTTTGTATAATAAAAAAGTTTCATGCCATTAATATCTTTTGCGTAAAGCTAAAAATTCTTGCATTTTATTTTCATTCTTTTTTAATTCTTCTAATTCTTTCAACAGATTTTTGATTTACGTACAATAACAGTTACCTTAGCTTTACCAAGATGAGCATGTGTATAAAATATGGCACTTCCTTTATAATCTTATAAATATTTTGTTCTGTGACATAAACCCAGGCATATGTTATATCATGGTTAAGTATTTTAAAAGACATTTTATTTCTTAACTTCTCATTATATTATAATATGTATTATTTTAAATTAATTATTAATATAAATAAATCCATTTAAAAAGCATGCTATTTAATTCATTTTGTCAATAAATTACAAAACCAAATCATTTACAAGTATATAAATTCCTATAGGATACCTAGGTATGCTTGTTAAATAATTTCATTTTTACAGTATATAAATATATTGACAGCTGATTGCTACAATGTTACTTAAAGAACATAAAGAATTAAGCACTATATTTCTTAGTAGAACTTCTTTTACATTTCACTGTGCCAATGCAACTCTATTTATTTTGCCCATTAGTAGTATAATAGGTTTTGAGGGCATCTGCCCCTCAGTACCTTAAAATAATACCATATGAATAAATCAGTTGAAGTAGGATTTAAAAATACTGATACAAATTTGGTTTATTCCTCCTATGTTATATTGCATATCAATACATTTTCATCTTTAAAATGCATTATAGAAACAATATTGATGAAAATATCTACAGATTTTTTTATGAAAAGAAAGTGATTGTAGACAGTTGTGATTACATTAAAATAAAACCTGAACAGATTCTGAGATCGCTTTATAACGGAATATAAAAAAATTATCGTTGTAGCTATGGAAACCTTCACAGGAAGTTCCCTTTAGATCTCCAACTAAACTGCAATACTTGGATACTATAATACATGTAACTGTCTTTCAAATATGTTATTTGAATGACCGTGTCTAAACTAAATCAGGAGTTCCATACCACCAAACTGTGTTCAACTCAGTCTGAAATCAATCCCTTTTATCACTTGATGGTAATTAATGACAAGACTGATCTTACTTAAGAATTTAAATTATGAGTTGAAGTAACTAGACTTTTGCAGGTTTTGTAAAACACTTGTCTGAAATTTTGTGTGAAAGTTGCTGATGATTTCATTCTAAACATGGCAATTAAAAAAATGGGTCAACTGTTTTAATTTATGATAAAACATGGTTGATGACATAAAAACATGAAGAAAAAGTTGTAGTATTGACAAAAATAAAAACGAATAAAGAACACTGGTTCAAATGTAAATGTATTAAAAATGACTAGAAAAGCTGAAGTATATACCATAAGTGGAGAAGGACGTTATTATCGAGACATTATTAACATACAGGTAAAAACGTAAAATTGTAAAAAAAAAAAATAGTTTTTATGCTTTATATATGAATTAAAATTGCTTATTTTTTCTGAAATTTTAAACCTTAAGAAAAATTAATCCATCTTAGCTTGACAAGGTAGCCTCAAAAATACAAATTAACTTTTTATTAAGTCTTATCCAACATGTCTAGAAATTGCAATTGCATATTTACAGTAATAGCATGTATCTATGCATTTTAATTCACTGAAACAAAAACAAATTTTTTCAATAAAGTCATTATCTATAAAGTAAATAAACAAAGATTAATCTTGCTTAAGGAAAAATAAAACTGAACATAAAATGTGGAAAAATAAAGGGAGGGAATCTTGAATAAAACAAAAATGGTGAACACAATATACAAATATAATACTTTCCTTTGTAAAACACAGAAATAAACAAACTTAAAACAAGATTTGCAGATACATAGCAAAAACCAAGGACAAATATTAAGAAATAAAGCATTTTATTATGCAATTATAAAACAAGGCATTTATTATGCAAAGTCTAAAGTAGTCAATTATTATAAAGACATCAATAAAATATTGCATTTTTCAATTTACAAGCACAAAATAAAACATTAAAAGCACATAATGCAGTGTTTACAACTTTATAAAATTAAACACAAAAGCTGAAAAAGAAGGAAAAAAAGGTGAGAATAAAATAAAATCAAATAAAACAGGTGAATGTTAAGTCTTCTTGAATCTTACAAATTAATTAAACCGAGATCATTAAATTATGAGATGCATGAATCAAGAAAGAAAAAAAATATTTGAAAAGTTCAAGGACACATTATAATGACATAAGTAACATTCACTAGTTATAACTAACTATCTAGCCGGATTGGTGGCTGTAAGTTTAACAAAAACACTTCTTGACACAAAATGGATTGGAATTCATTAGTAAAGAACAAAAGTAAAACAGTCAAAATCCATGCTTTATGACCATGTAATATATAAACATGAAATTTCATTTGCAACAATATGATTATCAATATTCCATCATAATAAATGTGGTTAACAAGGGGGGATAATCATTTTTACAAAAATCCTTTCTTTCAAAATGGCACTACACATGATATGGTTCAAAAACTAACTCAATTATTTCTACACACAGTTATTATTATTGTTCCTGCAGATAATCAAATTAAATACTTAACTGTAAATTGCAATACTTAAATTTTACAAAACACAAAATACATAATATTGATAAATAAATGTAGCACACCCAATAAAGGAATAGTCAAGATAAAAGGGGCTGTAACTCCAGATAAACTGATTTGAATGCAAAGAAAACATTTCATCTCAACTTCTGATTATATTGTTAGATATTGTAAGATAATAAATTGTCTGGCTAAATATGTTGATGGAAGTGTACAATCACAGTGTGTGGTTATGATATAATAACCGAAGCAATAACCCACTAAGTACTAGTGTTATGATGGTCACAAGACCATGTCATCAGTGTTAGATCAGCTAAACCCTTTCTCTGACAAATATCTTAAATGTGCTTGTCTATTTTCTTTCTGGACAAAACCATTCATTAATTTTAGGACAATCATATAGCTGTTGACTCAATAGGTAACAGTGCAGACCATGATCACAGATGGATGTGCCAGCTAATCTTGGTCTGCAATGGGTAGAATCTCACGCTGCTAGCTACCTAAGAGTTCCACAATCTGACCAGTCTTGATACTATCAACATTTTTCAGCTTTATAACTTTTTTAAATATTTAAAACCCCACTCAGTTCATCTATCAAAGCAAAAAAAGCAGAGCAAGTCCATTGTTAAAATATTAGCAAGTTAAAGAGTTAAAAAATAATAACATTATTTAACAAATCAGTTTCACAGCATAAAATTATTGCAAAACAATACAATATAATACAGTCTGCTTCTATCATATACTGTTGTCCTAGTCTAGCACTTGGCCGACTAAAGTCATTTATAATAATCATAAATTATATAATAATGTACATGTTGTTGAGATATTTCATTATAGCTAGCAACAAGTGCTTGTCAAGATTAATTATTATCAATACATGCCCTGAATTATATATATATATATCAAATAATTAAATATATATAGTAAACTTATCAAAATAAACAATGTACATAGCTATTATACATTGATATATATCATTCAAAACAATCATGTAAAATCGATGACCTAAAATGTCTCTAACAAAATTCATTTGTTAATATAATAACTATTAACTACAAGAGTGTAAGTTGAAAATAAACTTGAAATTCTAACATTTAAATTTATTTTATAAATACATTTTTTTTGTAGGAAAAGAGCAGAATCCTACATTCAGAAAAAATCCAAAAAAACTTCACCAATGTAATCATACAGGTCTTCCAGTTAACTGTGGATTTGATACAGTACTAAAGTGATGTATAAAATTGATAATTCATGCCTTTATTGAGTAAGCTTCTCCGTAGACCAACAGGAAAACCATCGCAAACACCATTTTTAAAAAGTAACTGTAACAATAAAAACTGTTTAGAAAAGTTATATTATTTTCTTTCAAAAAGTCAGCTGGCTAAAATTGTAAAAATTATAGTAAAGGAACAACAAACTGCTGGAACTGGGGATGTGTTAATTCTGTGCCAACAGAATAAAGCCTGTCACATCCCAACAGCCGGACCTCACCCTATACTTGTTGGTGGCTAAATTTATATTTTTATATTGCTAAACCCCTTAAACCTAGAATGAACTGTTCCAAATACAAAGCTGGGCGAATCCATTACACAAATTCAGCAGGTTATGGGTTAAGAGAGCATTGAAGGATATTTATGATATGAAAATACATACAATATATCAAAATTTGCTCACGAAATTCTTATATATATGTAGATAAAAAAGACTAAGAACAGACAACAACTTTCAGCATTACACACACACCTATCACAATTAGCATAGTTAATTACAATATTACAATCATTGTTGTATGATGATGTTATAATACAATCACTGTTGTATGACAATAACATTATAATACAATCATTGTTGTATGATGAACGATGATGGTGGGTGTTATAATACAATATTACAATCATTGCTGCATGATAACAATATTATAATACAATAATACAAGCACTGTTGTATGATAACAATATTATAATACAATAATACAATCATTGTTGTATGATGATGATGATGATGGTGGGTGTTATAATACAATATTACAATCATTGCTGCATGATAACAATATTATAATACAATAATACAAGCACTGTTGTATGATAACAATATTATAATACAATAATACAATCATTGTTGTATGATGATGATGATGATGGTGGGTGTTATAATACAATATTACAATCATTGCTGCATGATAACAATATTATAATACAATAATACAAGCACTGATGTATGACTATAACATTATAATACAATTATTCTTGTAGGACAATGTTAAAATACAATCACTGTTGAACATTACTTATGATACAATATTACCATCACTGATGTTTGATAACATTGTTATAATACAGTAACTGTTGTATGACAATAATATTATAATACAATTTTTGTTGTATGACAATGATGTTATTACAATCACCATTTGATGAAATGACGTTGATGAAGGACAATGTGCAGTACCTAACATGTGTTACCAAACTCCCAATATCTGTTCAATTAATGAAGTTCATAGTATGAAGTTATTAGTTCAAGTGCAAACACACTTGTGTGAACATTTCAGGTTTTACAAAATTCAAGGCAGATATTTGTTTTTTTTAAAAATAGCTATTTCTATGTTTAAATGAGAACTTAATAAAGGCTGGTAATTTGCATAATCAGTAACCATTTTCTATAGATTTTAAAATTAGACAATTTTTCCAATTAAAGGCTCATTTTGCTTCAAAAATGTTATAATTTTTATTTCTTAAAAGCTTTTTATTTTTAAGTGTCTTGTTACATTTTCTACAAAGGTACTCACTGGCCTTTCACTAGAATCATGTTTTGTTTTACAGTCATTAGAAGAGTTAGGTACTTTAGTATTTTATATTGAAGACAAAATACCAATTTGTTTACAGTTTTCCTACTTTAATTACAAATTAATTCTCATTCAGTGCTGTTTTCATCACATGAAGAGCATCTAACATGCACTAAATCCATTATTTACTTTTTCTTTACAGGAAAAAAATGGTATTAATTTTGGAGGCCTAATTTGCCTTTTTAATTCCAGTTAGATTTAAGATTATTTGATGAAATGCCTCACAAGTACTTGAAAACTTAGTTGAAGTGCTGAAAATTTTCAAATAAATTATAACCATGATTTAAGTTTTATAGTCTTCTGGTGGCAACTGATGCAACCCCTGCCACCAGTACAGACCAAGATCAGCCAGCACATCCTTGCCACCTGGTCATGGTCTGCACTGTTCGTTATTCAAGCATTGTCATAAAATCCAGTTGTCAAAAAAAAACAAAAAAAATCTCTAAAACGATCAATAGTTTCGTCCAGATTGACAGGTTGTGTGAAAACATTTAATTTAATCAAGGACTTTTTTGCAGAACATGTGCTAATTAAAAAGAATGCAATGTGCATTACAGTCAATCATCTGGTCAATTAACAGTGTAATGATTAAAATGACTTGTCAATCTCTCTACCAACTACCAGTATCAATACAGGCACTTTACATTACTTCTACAAATTATAACACCAGCACAACACATCAACACACACATTTTCTTCCTACAGAAAAAGTTAATTCCGTTTCAGCTATTTTGAAAAGAAAATTTCCTATTTTTTTCTTCTTACAAAATTCCTTGACAAGAACTTTTCTTTCATTCTGTTACCAAGTTTGAAAAAACGTTTCATCAATCCATTTCTCACACAATTAATTTCCTTACATTTATGTTGTTTTCAACATATTTTCAAATAATTTCTTCCAATCAATGTGCATTACACCTGCATTAAATGAATATACACTCAATAACTTTCTATCAGAAAACTTGTCTGTTATCTATGTCTTTTCTGTTAGAAAAAAACCTTTCTTGCACAGATTTTGGAATGAGTGTCTTCTGTCTTTTCAATTCAGCTGGAATATTCTTATACATTCATTTATAGACACATTCTGCCTTCAACAGTTGTCAATAATCAACCTCATTTCATTAACTTGGTCGCTGGATGACTACACATGTACATATCTTCACTTTTACTCTGCAACCTTTCTTAACTATCCAATCAAATTGCACTTAACAACATTCAAAATTCATCCAATGAAATCACACTTCTTATACTTATAACACAATGACTGTTTCAAAACTGACCAATCAGAATGCCCTACACATTTGTAGCCAGTTTGGTTGTTGTAAAGTCAGCAGCAGGCAGTCTGAATGGTTCTAACGGTTCGGTTGAGATTCTACCGGAAGTAAAGTCTGTTGCCGACACTCGGCCACTATTTAAATTGTTTGCAGAAATTCGACCAGTTGTAAAGTCATTGACGGACACTCTACCACTATTTAGATCATTAGCTGTAATTCTACCACTAGTAAAGTCTGTTCTAGAAGGACTTCTGAACGTTGATGGAATATAACCAGTGCTGTAGCTGTTCTCAAACCTGAAATGGTGCGAGTAAAATGTTTATACTCTTTTTTTGTAAAGAATCTCAGATGAAGATCGACAAGAAATCATCAAACTTATAACCAGGTTTTTTTTGCCAAAAAACATATGTATAGTAAAAACCTAATGGGAGTGATGCTGCCAAAAAGATATAATCACAAAACCCAAGACAATATTCACCACTCTATTTTGTGTCTGTTAGTTTTGTAAGTTATTCCAAACTAGAAATGTGTCATCATGCCACGGATGCCCCCGCATGCACCCAAAATTTCAAATGTTATAATATTTAGTTCCAAATTTGTTTGCACAAATTATTTTTTTCATTCTAAGTTCAAAGCCCTTAAAACTTTTCAATGTTAACACAAACCATTTTTATACAATGTTCAAGGCACTGAAATTATTCAGTCTTAACCATTTTTATACAATGTTCAAGGCACTGAAATTATTCAGTCTTAACCTTTTAAAAATAGCATATTGCATATTTGTAGCCAACATAATGGCTATATACATTTCCACAAAAGTATGAGTGCTGAAACTGAAAGTTCAAAATTTTTCCAACATTCAGGAAAGATAAGTTTGTCTAAAATCATTGAACCACGACCAAATTCAAACTTAAACTGCTTATTCCTAAGATGTATCTATATTATTTTCAAAGTGAAAGGGACATAACTCTGCCAAAAAATCATCAAACCATGACCAAATTCCAACTTGACCTGCGCATTCCTTTGACATATCCATATGTCAATTTTGAGTTGAATATGTAACACTGTTGGGTTGATAATGAACAGAAACTGTAAATTTCATATCATTTTCAAAGTGAAAGGGGCATTACTCTGCCAAAAATCATTGAACCATGACCAAATTTGAACTTGACCTGCGCATTCCAAAAACATATCCATATGTCAAATTTGAGTTGAATGTGTAATATTGTTGGGGAGATAATAAACGGAAACTGAAAATTTAATATTATTTTTAAAGTGAAAAGGGCATAACTCTGCCAAAAATCATCGAACCATGACCAAATTTGAAATTGACCTGCGCATTCCTTTGACGTATCAATATGTCAAATTTGAGTTGAATGTTTAATACTGTTGGGGAGATAATAAACAGAAACTGAAAATTTCATATTATTTTCAAAGTAAAAGGGGCATAACTCTGCCAAAAATCATCGAACCATGACCAAATTTGAACTTGACCTGTATTTTCTCATGGCATATCAATATGTCAAGTTTGAGTTGAATGTGTTGTACCGTTGGGGAGATAATGAACGGAAACTGAAAATTTCATATTATTTTCAAAGTAAAAGGGGCATAACTCTGCCAAAAATCATCGAACCATGACCAATTTCGAACTTGACCTGTATTTTCTCATGACATATCCATATGTCAAATTTGAGTTCAATATGTGCAAGGGTTATTAAGATAATGAATGGAAACTGATGATGACGGAAGGACGGAATGACGGAATGACGGAACAGGGTAACACTATATGCCCCTGCCATTATATGGCGGGGGCATAAAAATTAAGTCTTGTTATCCTATATTTTTGCTGTTATTCCATAATAAGTCTGTAATTTTAAAAGCATTTAGTATGCAAATCTCTTAGATAAGACCATCAACTTCTTTTGCACTGTTCTGCTTACATGTCAGAAAATCCCACCAATCTATATAAAGGATCATCACATATTCAAGGTCATAACTTGCCTTACTTATAGACAGTTTAATGTGGTGAAACAAGAACAGAGAATATAAATAATAATCAAGAACATAAGAGTATATTATATATAAATGCATACACACCTGTTTAATGGACCAAGATCATCGCCATTCTGATCTGTATAGATATGACCATTTGTGTAATTAGTTGGCATGGTGCCATATCTCTCTGTGTCACCAACATATTGTCCATTCTTACCCTTCGCATCAACCTGAAATATATACATGTATATCAATTACACAATTTCTAGCATTTCTTTAATAATAAATTTAGTAATTTGTTATTTTTATAATTATAAAGTTTTTTTTGCAACATGTGACTACTACATAAACTGTTTCAATGTTGGTAAACATGTTGGACTTGTAATCTTAGAGTTGCTTCCCATATGGATTCAAACCCAGTCAGGGGCTAGCCATTGTGTTCTTGTGCAAGAAACTTGACACTCAATAAAATTTAGAATTTACTTTAGATTGTGTGGGAAATTATAATCTTATAGACATACTCACAGATCTGTTTCTGGAATAAACCAGTTCAACGAGTGTAAAGTTTCCTGCTCAAGAACACAAAAGAAATAACTTTTTTACCTCATCGAAGTCTGCGGAATATCTATAATTATAATCTTGTCTCCATTGATCCATCAGCGTAGATTTCGTCATCTCCGACGGTGACTCATTTTTGTCTCGTTTTCGGATCTCAGTGTTACTGTCCGTCTCAGCGTATGATTCTGAAGGGGATGCCACTATTCCGATCAATTTCAAAATTAACTTTACGTACATGATCAAAATTTTATGAGATGAAATCTAAATAAAATCTGAGAAACAATGATTCTGATGAGACTTAAAAAATGTTTTTGTTGTTTTTTTTTCTTTAAATTTCTTATTTAGATATTATTATAATGTTCTTTAAATATATATTTTTTCCAATTTATTACCATTGCAACATTGTTGTTTACCAAATTCTATACAAAATTTTAAAGTAATTTCACATGTTAATAAATTTTGAAAAGATATAAAAATAATGCCGGGTATTAAAAATTTTGAATAACCTCAATACATGTGAATGAAAAAAAAGAACAAACGTTTCCTTACAACCAGAATTCCTCTGATTATTATAAAAATCAAACCTATCTTTATTATTTACTTTAAAATGAAATGTGAGATTTCCAAAAAAATTAAACTAATAACTATAATTTCTTGTAAGTGCCAAAACACAAACAATATTAACAAATTTGGTGTTGAGGAAAAAATGGGATATAGTGTTGGAAACAAGTGTACAGCCAAGCATTAGAAGTGACCATTAAATAAAAGAAACCTTTTCTTCACTGTAACATGGTAATAAAATGTTATATTGTATAATTTAACTATAATGGCTTCAGCCAGGCATCAAAATTCCAAGCATAATATATTTCCCATTGTTTACCATTGTCTGAATGTCTGCATCTATGGTAACCGTACCCTGCCAGCCCAATAAATAAAATAACAGCTGCCGCGCCAACACCACCAGCAATCATCAATGCCACCGGCATCTCATCTGTAATACAAGCATCACGATAACCTCAGTGTCTGTACAAACTGTTCGTCTATCACTAAGACAGCGTTAATAAGATTCCAAAAGTTTAGATTTTAATAAATAATTTCTTTCATGAAAAATATATAAAGTACAATAATTATTCAGCCCATCCTTCTAACTTTCTGCTCTAAAATAATCAAGAACCTTGTAAGGCTGAAACTCACAATTACTTAGATGTAATGCAGAAAAAAATTATAAACAGTATAATTATATTATAAAAATTGGTGATAAATCAGATTTTAAAATTGTTTATCAAATTGACTCAACAAAATGTCAATACAACATAGGCCTACCTGTCTCTTCTAATGTGATCATTAATGATGCCATTCCCTTTCCATTGGTTACCGTACAATTATATACACCAAAGTCTTCCTCTTTAGCATTAATTATCTGTAGGTAACTTTTCCCGCCATACGGCAGTGGCTCCTCAGACGTTGAGAATCGTCCCGAAGTTGCATAATCTATGGGTTCACCGTTACGAGACCAGATAAAGATGGGTTTAGGGGAGGATATACTCATACATAGAATCATAATCTGTTCATCTTTCTCGCCATATTGTGTCACATCACTGATAATCTCTGGTGGACCTGAAAGTGAATAAAGTCAAGTTTTGACATAAATAATTTTTTTTTTTTTTCATTTTTTCATTTTTTTTTTCAAATAAATGTTACTTGTTTATATATGTAATGAAAACTTTCATTCTTGTTTCTAAACAATACCAAGGCACCAAATGAGAACTAACCTGTCTACATTTAAATTTAGTGTATTTTTAGCAAATGCAGGATTTCTTTTGCTGCATCTAAATGATGTGAAAAAAAGTGTGGAGTTTAGCAGTGTCTCTTTAATTTGGTATAAACCAGCGTTTTAAGATAAATAAATTGTACAAATTTCTTATTTAATGACCAATAGAAACTACATCACTGCAATAATAATTATCAGAAATCATACCATTTTCAGTGACATAAATATCCCTGCTGATTTCATTGAAGCCGAGAACCGTCGCTGTACACGTGTATACACCAAACATGCCCTCTCGTACACTTGGTATAACATATGTCGAGCTTGTGTGTAGAACAGTGTACTTCCCTTGACGTCGCCACGTTACCTCTGCCGTCGGATTGCCATCTGCCTCACACCGAAGTTCAGCGCGTTCTCCGACGTCAACAGGTACATGCTGCGGTTCTTTATCTTTAAATAATGGCCCATCTACAAAAGGAATTATAAAATTTTATTTTACCATTTTAGTGACTTAACTTTTGAATGTCACAGGTGGCAAGTCACACTTGTATGCCTATAAAACATGCATCTGTAATTAGAGACATGAACCTTTTAGATATAGAATATGTTTCTTCATTGAAAAATGTATATAATACTTCAACATTAACCCTTCTACTGGTTGATCTGTATATAAACTGTCTTTGGCATGAGCATAGACCTTGGTCAACCTAAAATTAATGGTCATGCATTCTAATTAGATTTGATACTGTTGGCTAATTAACTTTTTTTAAATTTCTTCAGAAAATCACCATTATCGATAATGGCTTGTTCCACAACAGGAAGGTGTTCATGTACATTTTAGGGTCACTTACATAATATATTCATAGCATGTTCAACTGATGTACTACCCACACTATTGGTAGCCTCACACTTTATAGTACTGCCATGGTATTTACGTGGCATCTTTTCTATACGATATTTGTTACTTGTCTGGTCTGGTATCAATTCTTCATCAATATACCATCTAAAACAATCAAATTTTTTCCATTATCATAACTTATGCAATAATATGATACATGTATATAAATAAACATTTTTGAAGTTTGGTTTTATGCCACAGTAACTGTTCACAGTGATTTGAAAATTGTCTACAAGGTTATATTGGTGGTAAATACACAAGACAATCTCTTATACAATATTTCAGGTAATGGGCTCTTCAGATAAAACAAATGCTCTCTTTAACAAGGTAGCTAGATATATTTCTCACATGAAAAAAGTCATTATCACCAGACGACATTTGACGACAACCAATATACTTTACTGCTTTATTGTCTTTGTATTTTATGAATAATCTTAAAATGACACTTAAATAAACAATAAATCAGACTGACATTAATTACCTCAACTTTTAATTATCAATATCATAATTCTATGAAAATCAAAGTTACACAACTCTTAACTTACTTCCAAGTTATTTCATACGGATTAGCCTCCCCTGAACATTTAAATTCTACATTATCAAATTCCTTCATAGTTTTGTCGGGATTACTGTGAACCATTCTAATCTTTGGAGCATCTGAAAATATATAACAACTCAATACATGAAAATCTTAAAAAAAATACTGATTATCAATATTAATATTATAATATTTTGAAAAGGATAAATTTATATCCCATTTGATTTCATTCTTTGTTGTTATAATCTTACGAATCTTGTTGACTGATCAAAATCGAAAAAGCTTGTTGAATAAAGTAATGTCAAATACATGTAGTATTGTTATATCTATTTGACAGTCAGTTATGCTTAAAGGTCCATTACGTCCTAGAAAATTGCTATTATTTTTATTTCTCAAAAGCCTCTCACTTTTCAAGTTCTGTTATGGTTTTGAAAAAGGTACCCATTGACCAATTACCTGAAGCAACTTTTTCTCCTGTTACAGTTATAGTGACTAAGTTTTTGGAATGGAAGTCAAAAAACTATTTGTTTACATTTTGCTTCTTAATGACAAAAAGTTACTAATTCTTATAGTAACAAAAATAAAGCTATAAGAAATTACTTCATAACCAATATATTTTAAGATATTTTAATCTATAGATGCCATTGTTGCACTTTTAACTGTAACTGAATTGGACAATTTAAAAAGTTTAAATTTCATTTTAATTTTTTTACAAAGTTTGTAATTGAAAAGGAAATGAATTGTTTTAAAAGGTAATGTTCTGCAATTCTTTGAGTGTTGTTTTCTAATGAAATTGATTGAAAAAAATCATGAACAAGGAAAGGCCTCATCATTTTCACGTCAATTAAAGCGTAAAATTCAGAACACTTGATGTTAAACAGTTGTAATTCATCCGAAATTTAGAACATAGCCGATTTTTGCACCAATCCCTCAGTTTTCAAGACACAAAAATCAATCACAAAGTCATGGCCAGGGAAAAGCAATCATGACAATGATAATGAAGATTTCTTCTCGAAATTCATACAGTTAAAACAGTTACTGTAAAATCTTTGTGGGGCACTTATTTCTGTGCTATTCATGGGTAGGTCAATCCACGATTTTTAGGTCCAAAATTTTTTATTTTGTGGGCTGTAACATCACTACATTATTTGCATTTCTTTTGTAAAAAAAAATAAGACAATCTATGCATTGAAGAAGCCACAAAAATGTCTTTTGTGACAAAACCATGAAATTTCACACCCACAAAACTAAATGAATTTACAGTATGCCACGAATCTTTCAACAATAAACTGCTGCAATGTCATTCCATTCACTGCCACTAGAAATACAACATGCAGATTCTGGCAGAGTTTGAAGCTATGCAGGTAATTAAAATGTTCAATCAATAACATAAAGAACAAATTGGCATCTACCATTAGCTTCACTTCCAATGCAATGACATCTGGAAGCTATTCAATCTATAAAAACTTCACAACAAAACGCAATGTCAGCGTTTTTCATGAAAAAAATCTCTATTCATCTGAAGTAAAAATTTATAACACTTTTCTTGCCTAAAATATTTTTTTCCGCTAACCAATGACTTCTTTATCCCATGAAATTATGCAAAAAAACATGCCATGGATGCTTTACTTGAGAATGGTCTTATTTTGGATGTGGTCTTTATTTGTGTGTGGTCTTTATTTGGGTGTGTGGTCTATATTCATGGGTGTGATCCTTATTTGGGTGTGATCTATATTCAAAGGTGTGGTCTATATTCATGGGTGTGGTCTTTATTTGGGTGTGATCTATATTCATGGGTGTGGTCTTATTGGGGTGTGGTCTTTATTAATGGGTGTGGTCTTTATTTGGATGTTATATCATTATTTGAATTGGTCTTTATTTCTTGGTGTGGTCTACTTGAATGTAATGTTTAAATACATGTGGCCCCTAAGTGCAATGTCATACACAAACTCATATACTTACACTGTACATCAAGAGTTGCCTGTGTCCACAAAGGATCCTGGTCTTTAAGAGCCCCATTCCATGCCCCACACTCGATCTTCTTCCCAGCATCTGCTGCAGTCGCTGTTATTGTCACAATTCCTGTTACATCAACACGCTTCCCATCAGTCTGTAGTGTTGCGACCTCAAACAATTTATCTGTAATTGTAACATCGTCTTTCTTCCATGTGATCTTCGGTTTTGGACGTCCGTTCAACACGCTACACGAGACATTTGTAGGTGTGTCAAGTCTAACTGGTATTAATGTACCTGATAACATTGGCCGGCTTGGCGGGACTGAAAATATATAATACATACAATAAGGTATATTCATGTACCGTATAATCTGTAATAAACACTCCACTATATAGATATTTCCTTATTTATCTTGGAAAATAACATGTCAGCAGAATCATTTTCAAATCATCACTTTTAAACATTATTCTAATCTTAAACAGAGCCCAAAGTCATGTAAGTAAGATAGTCATTTGTCTCTTTTCCTTTAGTTGGTACTGCCAGCAGTTTGCTCTGGAACATGAAAAGGTAAAATGACGCCACACAAGATGGTAAATTTTAAGTAAAGGGTAGGCAGGGAGGGGTTAACTTTATTCTTTTAATTCACTTAAAATATAAAGGAAATCTTATATCCGAATCAGTTTGATGTTGTAAAGAAATGGTTAATGGAACTTTGAGAAGGCCACTCAAAGCAGGGTATTGCTAGGGTCCTTGTTAATGTTCACAATTATCGTGTTTATCATGTGCTTAAAATATAGAACTATCTGTATTTTGTAAGCAAATGAATAAATAACCATTCAAAACACTATGAGAGATTCTCTTTGGAACCAGTCTTAAACATTTAATTTCCTGTTTATATTAAACAGTACACTTCAATTTGTTCACAGTCTACAATTTAAGTTATCATTCTTCACTACAGACACTTTGATTTAATTTCAATGTTTAACTGATAGAAGAAAATAAACAATTGATTATCTGTGAGGACCTACTTTACAAACGTGGGTATCACAAAAAATCTAAATCTTGACAAAATTAAACAAAATATTTAGGAATAATGTAGTTAACAATACATTTACATCAAAGAAAACTTGTACACAGTCTACTGTATAACAAGACTTCTCATAGATAAACAGTTAACAAGAAACACTAGTTTCCTTGTTATTATAATTTTCTAAAAGAAAATACATAAATGAAATCAAGATAAAGTTTTACACAATCAAATTTGTCTTTTTGACACTTTGTTCTAAATCTAAAACTATGATGCTCCATTGATGAAAACCAAGAAGTCTTTTGCTCTGTAAAATAGCATAGCCGAGTGGTTAACGCATCTGTCTAGTAATTAAATGATCGCTAGCCGCATAGGTTCAAACCCGGTCAGGAGCAAGTCGTTATTTCCTTGAGCAAGAAACTTTACAATCATTTCTAAGTACTTGTTGGTTCCAGGAATGGATTTGAAAGTGTGTCTATAAGCTTATAGCTTCTTACACAATCAAACTAAAATAAATTCTGTTTAAATCAAAATAGCACATGAAAGTGTTTATGTCTAATATAATACAAGTGGGGTACCTTATGACTGATAATGTTATTGATACAGACAATGGTCAATCTTGGTCATCTTTCAATACAAAAACATACTCAGGTTAACAGAGAATAACCACGAGTGTTGGGTACTATTTCATACTGAGACTGGTGACCAGTTGAAGCAACAGTGGGCTAAAACCTTATACATGAGTTAGATGTCCAAGTGCTTAAAAAAAAAAGAATATAGATAGTCCAGACCAAAGAAACAATAGAACTTTGTAGAATATATGAAAACTTACGAAATACTTTTTCACTATAATAATGAAAGTAGGCAAAGCCTATGAACTAGGAAATCAGATACAAAAAAAAATTTGTTCATTTTTCATTTTAAATTTTTCGTTTTAAAGGATCATTCAGTAGTTCATGCACCGCTTATGTTTTCAATCAGAACACATAGACGATTCTTAAACCAAAAAGTTGTGATTTTTCAGTTGTCAGAATACTGTTCATCGATCATCCTTGAGTTACAAAAAATGGCAGCTCCCAACTAGAAATGACACTGGGAATTTCACTGATATGTATAGAAATCTATATGTATTTTTAATTGTCTTTTATTTGATTTCCTTTTAAATATACACATGTAGTCTATAGCCAAGCAAGCTAAAGCCCTGCAGCCTTTGATTTCCCCGTATTAAAGAACAACTCTAAAAACTTGCAGCATATCATTCTACAGCAGTAGTAACGACACAGCCTGGTTCATACATTTTTCATCATGATCAGGGTTGATAGATGCTTTAATTAAAGGACAAGCTTCTGATATACATTTATCTTCCTTGACAAACCCAAGCTGCCAGCAATATATCTAGATAGGCTTTTAAAACACAAGGACAAATTAACCCCAATGATATCAGATATTCTGTTTGGATCAATACTAGCTTTTATTTTATTTGCACTTTAATCTGGATCTATTCATTGGCGCAATTTTAGGAATTTCAACAGTTACTGGTCAAAATTAATATTGACTATGTACTGAATGACATTGTTGTTATTAATGGAGGCTTTAAAAAAATATTTCATATAATTTTAGAGAAAAAATCTACATTTTTTTGGTAAAAAACCCCAAACAAACAAGAGTTTTTCATTTGAATATACTAATATGACGTTCAAGAAGACCTTTCACAGGTAGGCTTGAGATTTAAAATCTATTCCTGGTTATTGGACATTTGACCTTTCATATTCTGGTCATTTAAACTGTCTTAAACTAATTGTCTGTCAGGAAAAACCAAAATTTAAAATGATTTTATACATTAGTCAATATACCCGTCTTTATTGAGCATGAAATGCATTCACACAAAAAATTCATGTCAATACCATAACTGCAGACTTCAGGAAATTAAATCACAAATGGGCAAAGATAAAACGCATGTTTTCTAGAAAATTATGTAACATGTGCAGGAACATTGATCCTTTTTTATCTGATCTTTTTTTACAAGCAAATTACATTACTACTTCATTTTTTATACTCATCATTTTTTACTTTTTTTAAATTTCCAGAAAAAAGTATCAAAATATTGGCAGCTCAAGCCACACAGGCAGAATGTTAGAATGTTCAAACAACATCAAAGAAAAGTTCTGCCTACACATATAAAAGGTCATGATATTTTAGAATGACTTATTGTAAATTTTCAAGACCAGTGGGTAAAATAAAACAGGGAAATATTGTAAAAACTGAAACAATAAAATCAAGCTGTATGAGCTATTATATGTTTCCCATGATTCCCTCCAGTTACAAACTGTTGTCTATTTTTACAGACAATTATTAAGGATGGCTGCAGTTTTATTTCTGCCAATATAAAGTTGGATCTATAATTATATTTGCTGTGAAGAAATAGAAATTTGGTTAGTCTTGTTCCATTCAGACAAATTTGATTTGGTTTTAATGAATTTAAGTGACACCAACACAAGTTAGTATGGCGGCATTCCAGCTTTACTGGTGGAGGAAGACCTCAGGTGCCTGTCAATGCACAAGCAGTGTTCTAAGTAAAACCACTAATGTGATCAGGAAGCTAACTGGATAACTTCCTTACATAAAATAATTCAAAGTTCTCTGAAGGCTTCAAATGCACAGTAGTGAGTGGAGGGGGCATTAGTGGTTCAAAGTCAACAACCATAACCACTTGGATACAGAGAAACTGACTCTGCTGCCATTGAAAACTAGTCCACTGACAAATACAAAAGGTTCACTGACAACAAAAGCCATATCACTGACAATGACAGTAGTTTATCTGACAAAGAAAGCTTTTTACCTCCTGTATATAAGTAATGGAATTGCCCATCTTTGAATTTGGATTTGTCCATTCTAAATATAAGGGATTTCAATATCAAAATACAAATATTGAGCCGCTTACAATATCGAACCTGTATCAAACTGTCAGGATTGACTTTATACAGTAGACTGGTGGCAAAGGTTGATCACTTTTGGTGTTTCAAGCAGATTAAAGAATAAACCCTTAATATGCAGAATATTTTAAATGAACTTGTCCCACTTCCATTTTTGGGACTGTCCATTATGAATTTTAGGGATGTCAATTTGAATAAAGTTTGTCAGCCAGCAGTATAGAGCCTGGTCAGACTGCACAGGTGTGCAGGCTGGCCTGGCTCTATACTGGTGGCAAAGGCTTAATGCTATCTGTTCTAAGGTTAAGAACTACTTACTAAGAACTGTGATATAAGCAACATCACTGACTATAAATGGTTCATCGTTCATCGCGCTGACCTGACACGAATAATGACTGTCATCTTCTAGTTCTAACTCTTCTATCTTCAAACTATATTCATCTACAAATATATAAAATATCATACTTGTAACATTATCTACATAACAGTGAGAAAATATGGACACAAGGTTCCATAGTACAAGTTTTGTTTTAAGAATGAATTATGCATATTAATCAAAATAAAGCTAAGCTTTTCAAAAAAAGCATACTGTGGCCAAACTGTATGATAGTACCTCCATCAAAAAATAAATTTGACAAAGCTTAAAGAAAACATGTCTTTTCCAAGCAACGATTGCATACCTTTTATTCAACAAATTAGATCATTTACATGTAAGTTATGATGTAAGTTTTGGTGATAAAATCATTACCAGGTAAGAAAAAAATGTTAAATTTTATAAGTACTGGGGTGTTTTGTTGAAAAATATTTACTGAGAGAGTACAATTTTATGTTTTGTATGTTACTATGAAATTACTACTGAAGTTAAAACATAATATGTTAACCAAACCCAAACCGACCAATTCAGAATATATCAACTAAACTTTTTTCGTACAGTGTAACTTTCTTTCAGCCAATACATGCCAGATTTATATTTAATTACCACAGAGTTATATGGTGAACATTTGTAATTAGATAAAACCACAAATTTCATCAATATGTAATACATGTATATACTGGGGTAATTAAACCATGTGACATCTCTGGACATTTTATCTTCATCTAATTGATTTATTTAAATGTAACAATTACACCCTGCCCTAATAGCTAGAATTAATCTACATATATTAGATATGTAATTAATTAATCAGCTATATAATTATATGACTGAGCACATTGTAAGACATTGTGAACAATATCATAATTTACATATCAGTAAACCAGGCATGTTTTCTTCTGCTATCCCAGCATATTTCTCACCCCTATAACCACAGGAAACTCATGTGATAAGATAGGAAATCAAGGCATGGTTCCAAACCATGTTGATTATAAAATGTAGTATTGTAAATCATTAGATTCTAGAATTGTGACATAAAATAAGATTCTAGTAATTTGTAATAAAACTACAAAAACAGGATCGCTTGGGGCATATGGCTTTTAACTGTCTACTTGTGACATTTTAATGACTGAAAGCAAGGGAATGAATTCCTGAAAATTTCAGGGGCCATGACTCTAGATAAAAACTTCAATATTACACTGATGTAAATAAATATTACCACAATACAAAGAATTGCAATAGGATATAGATTTTTGTACATGACATATCGCAATTTTAAAAGCCTCTGTCAATCTTTTTAAGATATATATAATACCAGACAAAACTTCGAAAGACCTAAAAGATCAGGAGGCCTTCAGCAAAGAAAATCATCAGTTTCTGTGCATAATATAAATTGCTGGCACTGAAAGCTTTTACAATGTAAAAGAATTTGAATTTGCCCTCAAAAACTCTTTGTTCTTGTCAAGTTGACTTAACAACAAACTCTCTTCTTCCAGCACACATAATAAAAATCCCATGTACAATTCAAAGTGACATTTACAAGTACCTGCAATGAGTACATGCTTTATATAATGGCCAGAAACTGCACCATAAATTCAGTCACTCAATTACTCACTTTCAAGTCTCTTCTAAGATGTGCCAGTGGCTAAAAAACTATCAATTACAACTGGTGATTTTTCCACATCTCTTTTCATTATTGTAAGTAAAGCCTGGGGCTAGAACAATACAACTTATCCCTGTCTGTAATTATTACACCCACAATTCATTTCTCCGACAATTCCTTCCATGTAATCATGTCTATTACACCTTTTATAATTGGATAAAAAATCTCGGAAGTATTACCCCCTATCAATTATTACCCAACTCCATAGAACTTTTCTTTATTTTCAACATGAGCTCAAAGAATGCGTGAAAATTAAATTTATTATGAAATGGCGAAGCTATAATTTTCGCTAAGAAATTCTCCTAAATCACACATCAAATAATTCATTGAAAACACATTCTCTTTTTCTTGAAGCTTTGATGGAAATTTGCCAGTTATGCAATGAGGCATGAAAATTAATGATATTTTAAAACACCCAATTTTCAAATAAATTGAGGGGGATATTCATCATTTGAAAGATGAAATTTTATTCGTATTAATTAAGAACAATTATCTTAATATAGAAACCATATAGAATATTTTAGCAAAGATATGAATTACAACTTAACCTTAATTTACTTTAAATCAGCTGCAATGTATAAGAGAATTGTAAACTTTCCCCACCAACCCACAACAGTTTACTTATTAACTAGGTCTTCACCCATACTCCATACTGCCAGGCCAGTGCTTTGGCTTTGCTTTTGGGGGTGGGGGAGATAAGTCCAACCCAACTGTGTTGGGAGCATTTAGCAGAGATTTTATCATCTATCTATAATCTAAAATTAATGTTAACCGACTAAGTAAATCTAAAGTGATTGGATATCATGTTTGTTGTATGAGCATTAATAAAGGTACAGTATATAACTTACTAAGTAAATGTTTGGTTCAGAAAATTTCAATTTTCTTGCTTTACTTTTATATTGCAAAATATATCCGGCTTATAAGAAATACATATATGTTTGTGATAAATAAGACTCTTAGCCTAAAGGGATGGCCTAGTGGTTAAGGTGTATGCCTCTCAACCCAGAGATCATGGGTTAGAGCCCTTATTTGGTTACGACCATGTTTCTTCACATGACACCATTACTGGTTAGTTCCAGGAAGCGGACTTGAAAGTAATGAATATAAGTTGCAAAAACTTGTTTCGCAATCAAGCTATAACAAATATGTCTAGTAAATGAAATAAGATTTTGAATCGTATTTTGTATTAATGTATCAATTTTTGAACTGTTACCTGTAGACTCTGTGATACCCTTGGTCCCTATCATGGTGTACCTCTGAAAGCCAGGCAAGTCTCTCTTGGTACCAAGTCCAAACCCTCCGCGTGTCCACTGTACAATGCCAACTCGGTTCTTGATAATACAACGTAAAACTATAGTCGAACCTTCAACAGCAGACTGGTTAGTGGGCTGCTTGTAAAACTCTTGAACGCTCATAACTGAAATATATTAACAAGTATATTTGAATAATTTAGAAATCAATTAATTCATGTACAAGTATTTCTGCCAGCAAAAAGAGCAAGTATAATCATCTTTTCACTTAGTGACACATCTTCCTGTACTATGAGTGTATCCAGCCTAAAACGTAAACGTTACAGTTTGCTGCTTATATTGAGACATCAGAAATGCCTTTCAATAACATTGCCTTATAATCAAACATTTGACAATTACAAAATTAAATAGGACATGACAGTTACATGTACATATATTCTGCAGGGTAAAAACATTTAAAATTAGCTATATACATTATCAAATTAGAGAAATAAAAGTGATAACAGTTTTACAGCATGTTACATTTCAGACATGATGTACTTCACTTCTTTGACATTTTATTTGTTTCCATGTTATTCTTAAATTTTCCAGCATTAAGAGAAAATAAACAGAGGCATGGAAAAAGACAATAATCGTTAGAGGGTGGGGTAATAGTTGATCTACTAACAGGGTGTGTTACACAATATATCTCAATATGTAATAGATAGATATACAGTTGATAGATTTCCGAATGTTACGACATCGTGACACGCAATCGTTCTTTACCCACAATCCTTAAAATAATCCTCGACCATTAATATAACTATCAATTTTCCAACCCCACTGTGTGTGTTTATTGCTGACAAATTCACAGACATTACGACTGTCTACAGAAACATAAACGACAGTCAATCAGAAAGAATATAAAGAAATATATAATTTTGTTACAAAGTTCACAAACCACTGGAGATTTCTACAGTTTTCTATAGTAGTATAACTTGCATTTATTACAACAATATCAATACCTCACATCTTCGTTCTCTGGCCGCTTTTTTTGCGATTATTATTTACGAGAACATAGAATAATAACCTGCGCAGCAAAACAGGGTAATAATATTATAATAACATCATAATAAACATCATAATAATGTATCACAATAAACAACTAAACAGTCATGATAAAATGTGCAAATGTATTTCAGTCTGCATGTTTTTATGGGGTAATGTAATATTACTTTCATTCCTGGAGATGAAATAATGACGGCACATTATATCTCGCAGCTGCCCCAGTTATTACATGTTGAGATAAATATAATATCACACTCAAATCCTTTTTGTCCCAGCTACCCCAGTTATATGAGATATAAAAAAAATATCATAATGGGAACAACATCCGTTTTTTCTCTGCTGCACCCCACTCTACCCGCGTCCCAGCCCTCTTACGCCTTGAGATAAGTAAAATATCACATTGGTATCCGACCATGGACTGCACTGTCAGCTATTTACCTCGTACTCACTTGAATTTTTCCCTTAAAATGATTTTTTTGTTTATTTTGGTTTTACGTCACACCGTTACATTATAGGTCGTAATGACAACGTTCCAGCTTTACTGGTAGACGAAGACCTCAGGTGCCCTTCCGTGCATTATTTCAGCCATGAAAGTAAATCCACAGATGTTCTGTAAGCTAGCTGGATAGCTTCCTCACATGAAAGAATCCAAAGTCCCTGTCAGGATTCGAACCCACAGTGGTGAGGGCAAATGGTTTGAAGTCAACGACCTTCACCACTCGACCACGGACGCCCCTTAAAATGATGAATGGTTTTTGTCCAGATTTATAGATATACTGTCATATACAAGTCCATTTTAGATCTTTTGAGGGGTAAGGGATAAAAAAAATATAGAAGTAGACCAAAATAATTTTAACCAATAATGCTTAAAAATATGTGTTAGCTCAGCATTATTTCATGTAAGTGTTCAGAACTTATCATAAGTGAATGAAACTTTAGTGTCATTTATCCTGCAAAAACTAGCAGTAAACAATGGTATAACAGAATACCTCTCTAGGGAGGTACTACAATATCAACACATGATGTGCACATTTATGTCTGACTTTATTACACAACAATAAGTCCTTGACAACTTGAAATGTTTAACCATGATGGCGCTTGAACACTAGAATCTTAGGCCTTTATATTGTATGCATTCTTAGAATGTAAACTTGTCTCTGAGACGGTAGATATATCATGTTTTTTGCACATAATTGTTGTTTGTTTAAGTTTTAATAAAAATTTGTATTGTATGCAATAAACTTTGCAATAATGAGTAAAGATATTTTTAACAAGAGCTGTCAGTTTAGTCAGAGCGCTTGACTTTTCCCGGTGCTTAACAGTAAAAAAAGGTGCATTTAACTCTGTAAAAAGGGTTAGGGGACCCGTGTTCATAATGTTAAATATTCACAAAGAATAAGTATGTGAAGTTTAAACCCATTCCTTTATGCAGTTTTGGAGATACTAAATTGTGCACACAAATTTAGGTCTAACACCAGCACTGTGGTGAATACAATGGCTCTCCTTATTCTTCGATCAGTCAAGCTTAGCTAATGTCCCAGGTGAAATGTGTACCACGGTTGGTCAACGTAGTATTTCATGGTTTTTGATATCTGAACATGTTATTTCTTGGTCGTCAGTGAAAAACCATCAAATGCCATGGTCACATCATGGTCTAAGTGCTGAGTATGACCATGTTATAACATGGTCATTCTGCATATCAATAAGCAATCATGAAAAACCATGGTCTACCATGTAACAAAATTACAGACCATGGTAAAATCACAGTAAATGACCATGAAGTACCATGGTGTACTATAAACATAATTTTTATGTCAGTAAATACTTATATAAATTAAATAAAAAATATGAAACACTTTTTTCCCCTACCAAAAGGGATATGAAAGTTACATGAATAATGTTAAAAGAAAAGAAAAAGTTGACCCTTCTGGGGTTTGAACCCACAGCCCTTAGTTGCATTGTATTAAACAGTAGTCCTAGTCTTATAATTTGAATACTCTTCAAAGCTGACGTAAACCATACCACAATGCAACATTCAAACATGGCGTCCAAATCCATGTGTGATTGTGTCAACAACATAATATATTTGTTTTAAAGTGTTTAAACAATGGAATTAATCACTCAGACTTTGCTAACATGTTTCCAAACACCCAGATTTTATATTTCACAATTGGATTGAACAAACATTATGGAATAAACACTGATAAAGATGCAAACACAAGGAAAATATACATGTGGGAAAACGCGGGAACATTTTAAAAAGATGAATGGCAAGCACTGTTTGTTTTATATGCAGGCTAGCTGGTTAATATCTATCAGACCAGAATGGATATTTAATGTATGGTACATTGCCAAATGCTTCAAATGACCATGGAATTAGGATAAAGTGACAAGTCTGGCAAAGTATACAAATAAAAGTGATCACAAGGGACCAGCATATTAAACATTACACAAAGAATATGCAGGTTAATTAACTTTAAAAGAACATAAGATATGTTTGCCTATGTAAAAACTGCACACTCTCAAATTCAGTCAAGATATTCATAGTTTTATGTATACTATTATTATGCTAGTCTACATCATAAGTAATTTACGTAAGTCATCTTACATAGGGGCTGTGTAACATAACATGGTCAACCATGGCTAACCATGATCTGCATGTGAGCCATGTTAGTTCATGTTATTTCATGATAAAACATGATACATTTCACCTGGGAATAAATTAACATGGTAGAACATGGTGTAAGTAGACATGAACTACCATGTTATTTAATGGTAGACCATGGTGTTAGCAACCATGGTTAGGTGACCATGAAAAGCTGTGGTGCCATTTAACAAAACATGGTCTACTATGGTAGTTTATGTATAAATATTGACCTATATCATTCATATTTACATGACAAAGGAAACTCAACTCTGATATCAGTTTCAGATGTGCAAAGAGAGAATTTAGACAACGTATTAGCACAGACTGTTTAACTGTCTATTTATATCATATTTTATCTGATGTTCATTATTCTACTAATACAAAATGAAATCAAATTCAACCATAATCAGGTCCTCCCCTTGTTTATTATATATAAAAATACTAACATGGTGCTAAACTTAACAATAAATTATGATACAAATGTAATACAACTGATTACACAATGATAGAATGGAAATATTCTTTCAGACACAAATCATAAAATGATAGCTAACTGTGGTTTAATACAATACAATCATGTCTGTTTCTAGAAAATAATGTTTCTAATCAAAATAAAGACAGGCATACATCATGTTTCGCTACTTGTAACGGAGCATGGTGTAACAATTGCAATGCCGGGTCAACCGATACATACCATGATTTGCAAACCCTTTTACCACCCATATTTGATCAAAATAAAGGTAAGTGTACATGGACAATTACAAGCACTTTATAACCTTGTACATGTAATTGTACAAATTGACAATCAAATTAAAATTTATTTTGCGAGTGTTTGATAATTAAAACTTAAAATCCTTTAAAACCCGATCATATTATTTAAATTACACTTAATAAGTGTTAAAGGCACATTTTGAAATATCTGATACATAATTAGCAACGTCACATTGTAGGAATAATTAAATCTAAATGTCCCTTTAAATCATTTTAGACAGGCTACACATGTACATTATCAGGTAGAGAATGGAAATTTAAGGTTCTTTGATTGAGACAAGTAATACATGTTAAATCTGATAATTTTACAGTCAGTTCATGCCTGCTGGTTAGACAGTGGTGTAGGCTTGGGCTTATCAGTAAAAGGTGAAACAATTTTGGGGAAACAAGACATGTACTGAGCCTGGTGTTACCAATGTATCAGGCTTGGGCTTATCAGTTTGACAGGAGTTTATGTAGACGTTGTTGCTGGTCTACAGCTAGATGTATATCACAACAAATCATGATAGAGTACCTGGAAATATCTACATCATCAACAACAACAACAACAACATATCAAATATAGATCATCAACCATGTAATTACTTGTTGCCTTCAAACCTTCAACTGTCCAGACTAACACATGATATATAGCTTCTTCTCCACCTCACCATTGCTTACAATATACTCTAATTTAAAACTTCCCAGTCTTCCTTGTGTACT